TTAGAAGTTAACATACTGAAATATGTCATATTATTTTGAAAACCTGAAGGAAATGTTTTTTTTTTAAATAATTTTAATAACGAATTTAATATCACTTAAAATTTCACAAATATTTTCCACAGCAATGGCGGAAGATGATGTAACTTTCCCACGAGATCCCATGTGGTGTAGTTACAATGATTATCATGTGTGTGTTAAGTTTTGCCACTCACATGACAGTAAAGCTAAATGTAAACTAGAGTATAAGAAGAATGAAAATAAAAAAGGTATGATTACCGTCTTTGCCCTTTGTTATTGTAACAACTAAGGCTCAATTTTATTCAAACATTTATCTATTGCTACGAAAAAATGTTTCTCTTTAAGTTTATAAAAATTGTATTATTAAATATTTGTCATTTTTACGTATATTATTGTCAACTGATGGAAATAATAACTGTGGAATCGAGTGGTGTATTTTATTATTAGAAATAAATAATGGATTATAATTACTGCAACTCCAATAATAAACTTGATATCACAGTTGAATCATACCATTTTAATTCTACCATGAATACCCACATTTTGTATACTATGGATGTACACCATTTGAATGGAAATATTTCGGACGGTTTTTTTCTCCACCCTGGCAACACTTGATCAATTTGGCAACTCGTATACGTATAGAAAAATTAAAAATGGATCCTGACAACTGATTGAAAGAAAAAAAAAACAATAGCTCTATCTGACAGAGGCTTAAGAACATATACTCAGTCTACATTATAAGCGTGCTTGAGGGGATTTCCGATTTTTTTTATTTCGTGCTCAGTAATAATAGACATTTGTAACATACGGAAAAATGCGTTACAGTGAAAAACTGTCTGTACCCATACACGCTGGGTTATAAAATACGTAATCTCGATACAATGTCTCATCATAAGATAAACTTTTATTTTCAATGTTCAATTCGTATGTAGCTTGTGAACGATAGCGTTAAACAATTTTTTAAACATTCTTTTTTCTTAATCATTTAAAATTTTATACTGGTAATATTTTACTTGCACTAACATTTAATGCCTCCTCTTCTGTTAACACAAATATTCACACGTATTTTTTAAATACAAATGAAACATGCACTTTATGCGTTTCACGTGATCATGCGCTCATACACACATGTACATTATACGCGATGTATGTGCTGAGCTAACAGGAAATGGAAGCTGAGCACTTCTCGTTTTAATATTCGCGCTCGAGGGTGAGTACAGCCGTACGACTGAGCCAAGAACGGAAAGTGCGAGTAGTAAAGATCCGCGCATATGGATGCAACTTTGTGAAAGCTTGAGCTCTTTTCTCCATTGTCGTGACATCTCTTGCAAACACAAGCACGCACGCACGTGTTTATACACGCAATTTATGACTTGAGAGTAACAGAAGATGCGGTATAGGATCCGCAGCAATAAAAGCCGTACATACATATGAATATTTTACGGTATGAAAAAATTCGGTCAAATTCATCTTTAGAAGGTTTTTGTGCCCAAGAAAGACACTTTTTACTATATTTTCAATAAGTTAATTCATCATATTTATAAGTTTTAAAAACCCATCATTTCATATTTAATTTAAAAATAAGATCATACATTGTTCCACTTATATGAAAGTGTCAAACGCCAAAAGGTACATTTTTTTCGAAGGTCTAAAAATAGGATCTGTGACGTCATTTTTCATGAAATAATGAACGACCATTAGGAAAATTGTTATTTATTCGAGAAAATAGTTGTCTCACTGGTAACACTCGTTATTATACAGATACTTCAACGTTTATGTACATTATTTCATGCATATGGATACGTGTATTTTGAGGAAATCCACAAAAAATGTTCCGTTTTTGTCCCCCATATTATTAAAAAAAATTTTTTTGACGCATACCTTCAAGATAGGGCTCATTTTACACCTAATGCCATGTACTATGAGGAAAAAATTTTGAACACGGGTATCAGTGGAGGTGACACCCTTTTTCTGCGATTTACGCGTTAAAATCATACCTACGTAGATTATATGCATAGATATACTTAATAATGTTGCCACAGATTTTTCTTGACGATTTCAAATCATAGCAACGACCCATAGTAATAACCATCATGAAGTATTAGTCCTGTAAGAACCCACTAAGCGGCAAATCCATAGTGTAGGATCCTCGCAGTCATTTATGGCATTTTGAAAAAGAACATTGTTACCTTCGATGTCACGCAACTTCGAGTTTTCCCAAGCTCGCATGATTCCTCGGAGCTCCATCAGAGTGAAACCATCGAGTCCCATTGTTAACGAAAACCTTTGTGCCAAATCCCAAATTATTATCTCCCGTGAACTTTCTAAGTCCACACGTAACAACTACACTCACGAGCTGCGCATTACGTCAAACCTGTTTGGTCACACATTGCAAACAACACATCCACCCACCATCGTTAACCCCTCCGTCCCCCATACCTCCGGTATCCCTCTAAATTCCCTACTCTCGAAGAAGAATTATCCTTCACTCTGCAGTTCATATACACTTGTTGTTGGAAACCAACGCTGATGGCACTCCGTTGAGATAGAGGGTATGTTTACCTCCCCTTTAAGCCAAGCGCTCTTACTTCTCTTTTATGTACAGTGTGTATTCTAGCTCCTCCTCCGTGCGTTCAGAACCTCTTATTTCGTACATATACCAGATTATGAGGTGGAGGTAACGGAACACGCGCTTGTTTAAATATTGGCTAAGCACGGCTATGCTGCAGCCCTTGGACTCCTATCGGATGAATTAATGGAAATGTGTGTACTCGAGGAGTACGAAGATTAAAGGGCCGGATAGACGGATGGATCGAAAGTGTATACGGATTTCCTTGGGTGACGATGACTGAGGTTTCGTTTGAACTGCCCGACGAGGTTGGAGATTGTGTACGTGTTGACAGAGACGTGTCGCTTTGAGAATTATTTTGACTGACAATACTTGAATATTGTACTTTTCAATACTTTAGATTACATTTTAAGTCACTGTAGTAACGAGCTAATAATAGGCAAACACTCATTAACTTTCTTGGCACGACGTGTTTTCGTTTACTGAAAAATCATAAGTACCAATAATCCACGATTTCGGAGGGAACGATAAGAAATACATGTCTCTACTACACTTGGCCGCGCAGGCCTATCGTGCGCATGTATTTCCATCCACGCATTTAGCAACAGTAAGTACATGACTTAATTTTTACAATGAAAATAATTCCTGGTAAAAATAGTTTCAGAGCACAATGTAGATAAAAGCTTTCTTTTTCGAACATACTAAATTTTGACGTATCTTTTAGGTTTTCTTAAACAAAACCTGCACACAATATGTTTCGAAATCGTATAACCTTCAAACAAAGCTTGACAAGAAAGAAAATTTTTCTATAAAAAATGATACTCAATTACAGATTGTGGAAATCCTTAAGGACGCCCATCACACATAGTGTTGTCTCATGGATTTTGTTTATACTTCAATTTAATATTCTGAATAACCTTAAAATATGAAATATGAAACTGGGGATCATCTAATTGCACTGTTGTGAGGTATTTAGTAACGAAAAAATCTGAATTAAATATGCATCCTTATGGAAGGATCACAAAATTACGTTTACAGGTTAATGGGTCTATATAGTATGCTTCACAATTTTTTTTGTATGATCATAAAAAATTTAAAGAACTTTATGTACCATTTTCTAGAAGTTTGACTGTTCTTTTTTCATAACAAACAAATAATAAAAGCCGAATAATAACTTGGCAAGCATGGCAGCGTTGTACAAGGAACGAAATTCAAAAATGTATCAACTTGATTGTAATAAACGAGAGGTAATGAGAGTTTATAATTTTTAAAACAATTTACATGCCATATTTTTGGTACGTATTTGCATTGACATTCGAGCGACAGACGTTAAAATCTTATGAGTTTCCTTATGTTCGTGCACCTCTCACTTCTCTACAATAGCACCTACTGCCGCATCAATATCCTTAATCAATGGTTAAGTAAGATCAATGTCTAGTTTTGGATTAAAAATGAGCCTGTGGAATCTGCAGTGAAATAAAAGCTCATTAAAATTTAAGTTGACAAATGTCATACATCATTCAAATTTGTATTGAAAAGTAGCTGATTAAAAGATTTTTTTCCTACTTTTGTAGTAATACGTGAAATCTTAAAAAAAAAGAAAAGTTTACCATGCTCATAAATGAATAATGTTCCTGCTATCGCATTATACAAGTGAAAAAATTTCTTGAAATTATGTGTTTGTAGAACCCATATCTCAAGTATCCGTACTTTGTACTTGAACATAAATCCATAAAATATCTACACGGAAGATTAGTTAAAATTGTAGACAGAAAAACTTTCCTTCCAATATTTTAATTACTGATTATACGGTTTAAGCTCATATTTTGTATTATTTTCAAAGTCAGTCTACAAGATATTTTTGTGATTTAGCACATTTATTAACAGGAAGTTTTTTCCTTAAAAGGATTAACTTACATACACTTTCTATTGATAAATTTGTGAATATAAATACATGCGCACGATAGGCCTGTGTGGCCAAGTGTAGTAGGGACATGTATTTCTTATCGTTCCCTCCGAAATCGTAGATTATCGGTACTTATGATTTTTCAGTGAACGAAAACACGTTGAGTCAAGAAAGTTAATGAGTGTTCGCCTATTATTAGCTCGGTACTACAGTGACTTAAAATGTAGAAACGACCATTATAAAAGCGTCTTTGCTTTCAAGCGTTCAACTGTGTATGTTCGTCTCTCGTGTCATTCAGTGCCAGTAGATACTCCAGCACACAACGGTGAGTTTTTGTTTTAAGCCATTATTTAGAACTTGGATTGACTTTTGCCAATAAATAAGATGTGATAAATATTTGAAGTACGTATGCATCTACGAACAAATCTCTATTCAAACAACTTGTATCTGATCCACAGAGTTACAGCTAGTCCTCGAGATCGTCCAGACGCATCAGTCAGAAAAATGTCCGAAAACGTCTCGCAAGAGTCCAACAGCATTGGTCAAAGTTCTCAGGAATCTCCCAGTGGACAAGAGAATGGTTCTGGAAAAAAGTTTCATATGTGTCAATCATGTGGAAAATTATGCGAAACGGCATTCACTCTCAGAGTACACAGACGTATTCACATCAATGAGAAACCCTTCCAATGTCCGTTTTGTGATGAAAGATTCGCCGTAGGTGATTTTCTTGATAGTCATATAAACTATCAATGCAAGAATTAATTATGCTGCATGACATATTTTTTAACAATCAACCAAGCAAACTGTATTTATGTGCTTAATATTAAAATAAAATTTTTTTCATACCATATCGAGTGTAAGTATGTGTTCTGAAAAATAAACCTCGTGTTTATACACACTGGATAATATCAACAATATATCTATCAAGTCTTCAACTACAAAGTAAAAAAAACTTAAAGCATGCAGACTTTGACATCGATAGTTGTCTGCGTCCGCTAATTTCTGAATATATTACACATTTGTATAATTTCTGTACCAAGCACGCGAAATCTTTGTACGTAATATATGGTTACAAAACTATACTGACATAAAAATATTTTGAATATGTTATTGTGTGCCTAACGTAGTTCCAAGAAATTTTTAACTGATAAGCCAAAATATAAAAAAATATTAAAACGTACTTAACTATCGACGCTTGTAATCACACATTCGTGGTTTTTCACAGAATGAAATCTACTTGGAAATTATTTATAAATCTATAATATACAAATCTTAAATTTGTAACGAATCATGCATAGCAACACAGCAAAGTTAATATGCTGGGGAGGGGACTTGTATTGGGCGGGGCGTTTAATTGAACGAAGTGATCGCGCGCTGATCAAACTATTACATCAAGGAATCATAAAACAACTAGGTAATCCAAGTTAAATTCAGATATTTCTTTTCAAAATTGATTTGTGTATCTCGTTAATGGAGTTTTATGAAATCACTTTGTTTTCTTAGCTTCTAATACCAAACGAATCTTTTTAAGGACACTTATGTGTAGCAAAATCAGCCAATGCAAAGTTCAATGAGCTGTATCATAGAAACTCAAGTTTTTCAAAGTTTTAAGCTCAATTAACCCATCGTCGACTAACAGCGACCAACGCGAAAGCACTCCAGTTTTTTTTGCGGTTAATATCGCATGACCACAGTAAGTTGAACACAGAAATGTGAGATGATCAAAGAAGAAAGGGAGTTGTAAGCCAGCTTTCCAAGCTATAGGCTTGCATGGCTCACTTGACGCTGGAAAAGCGACCATTACACGCCGTCTCCGGCCAATTGAAAAATGTATAAAGGAACAAGCCATGGTAAGCGATTGCACCTCGCATCTTCCATTATACACAATTACCAGCTGCAGTCTGTGGTTAAATCATTAATTAGGCTGTATCGCGTTAATTTGAAGTATTTAGTGACTAGTAAGTAAATTTTCGGAAGATTTTTTTTTAGGTCATCATGGTTGATTTATTAGGTGTGAATTTTTAAAAATTTTTAATCCTATTTTTCAAAATTATCAATCTTTTACTCCTCAGACGAAAGAGCTATTTTAATTCGAAATTTTAAAAAGGTATTATTTCAGTATTGTCAATACAAGATTCTTGCTGACGTGTTGAGTATAATTTATCAAATAAGTTTTCTACTTATTTTCCTCTCTTGGAAAGAAAGTCCCGTGTCAGTAATATATCCATAACTAGGAAAAATAACGAAAAAAAATGTTATGACCAAGTTATTTATTTTAGCTATTATTTGTGAAAATTAATTCCAACGATATTACGAATGCATCACCGAAAAATTAAAACTCACTTTCAGAAATTTAAGATTGATATAATATTTTTAAATATTTGAAATTAAATGATAAAATTTTTTTTCAATTCAAAGCTTCGTTAACAAGCTCTTTCAAACTTATAACTTAAACTTTTTTCATTATTCGGACCTCGATTGAGATGGTATATTTTTTCGACTTGAAGCGTTTTTCTTGATCTTTGAACGTTTTCTGTGCACTTGTTAGGAAAAACAGCGGTTGCCACTTGGGTACATGTATTAAGACAGATTAAAAAGTGTCTTGGGAGTCTTTTTGTCTCTTCCCTCAGGTCCAGTAACCATCTCGTTGTAGGGGATCCACACTGGCAATTAAATTAACTTTTCTCATTGTCTAAACCATCCATAAAAAAAAAAAAAAAAAAAAAAATAACAAGTTCACTATCGCGACTCGGGAGACCAATCTCGTATATAGTCTTATACACGTAGCATGCAGTATAAAATATATTTCTCTCGTGCCTTATCTGATCTCTCCGACTCTATTTTATACTTACTTTCCTTAACACGAATATCAGAGCGAGAGTCAGATGGTGTATCTTTGCACACAACGAAGCACAAAGGAGCAAAGTAAAGTCGCATGAATTATATACATACGTATGCATGTTGAAGAAAAACCCGAGTCGCGGGATTGCGCGTGAACGCCTCCCAAAGACAAATATAGATACTATTTAGTATATTAGGCGCTTAATCTATATTTATACAACGTCGAAGAGGAGAGGAGACAAATGTGAGAGAGAGAGAGAAAAGGAACGAGATGCGAGGCAGAACGAAAAATAGGTGCGCGTCAAGCGTACACACGCGAGCAGAGTGCGAGTGAGTGTGAGAGGAATGAAGAACAACCGGAGATGGTTTATAAATAAAACTAGTTTATACTTCTTAAAATATTTTTTCGATTAAACATAAATATAATGTTATATATTATAGCTACTGTCTAGACTTTTATTACACTACGCCATCTTCCGATTTTCGAAGCTCACACGAGAGAGAGAGAGAGTGAAAATTTTTTTTTTTAAGTCGAGGCAAATTTCTTTTTATCCGATGTTTGAACTTCGAATGAGAAATTACGTTAAATGATTAAAAATGTTGTTGCTGATGAATTTCTGGTTTGCCATGTGAAACTGTTATTGAATAGGTCATGTTTATTGATTTTACAAAACATCCGAACAAATGGAAAAAAAGGAATGAAAAGCATGAAAAAAAAATCAGCCCCGCGTTTGTTACTTTCAAACCTCTGGTTTCAAAAATATTCGTTTTTTTAAATTAAATTTAAGCGCGTTCGCGCTAATAATTTTATTATTTTGTTTATAATATTGAAAATCATATAGTTCTTTATAATTATTGTTTTTCAAACGCAACGT